TGGATAGATGCACTTTTATGATGGATAGATGCACTTTTATCATGGATAGATGCACTTTTATGATGAATAGATGCACTTTTATGATGGATAGATGCACTTTTATGATGGATAGATGCACTTTTATCATGGATAGATGCACTTTTATGATGAATAGATGCACTTTTATGATGGATAGATGCACTTTTCTCATGGAGAGATGCACTTTTATGATGGATAGATGCACTTTTATCATGGATAGATGCACTTTTATCATGATAGATGCACTTTTATGATGGACAGATGCACTTTTATGATGGATAGATGCACTTTTATGATGAATAGATGCACTTTTATGATGGACAGATGCACTTTTATGATGGACAGATGCACTTTTATGATGGATAGATGCACTTTTATGATGGATAGATGCACTTTTATGATGGACAGATGCACTTTTATGATGGATAGATGCACTTTTATGATGGATAGATGCGCTTTTATGATGGATAGATGCACTAATGCACTTTTATGATGGATAGATGCACTTTTATGATGGATAGATGCACTTTTATCATGGATAGATGCACTTTTATCATGATAGATGCACTTTTATGATGGATAGATGCACTTTTATCATGGATAGATGCACTTTTATCATGGATAGATGCACTTTTATGATGAATAGATGCACTTTTATGATGGATAGATGCACTTTTATCATGGATAGATGCACTTTTATGATGGATAGATGCACTTTTATCATGGATAGATGCACTTTTATCATGATAGATGCACTTTTATCATGGATAGATGCACTTTTATGATGAATAGATGCACTTTTATCATGAATAGATGCACTTTATGATGAATAGATGCACTTTTATGATGGATAGATGCACTTTTATGATGGATAGATGCACTTTTATGATGGATAGATGCACTTTTATGATGAACAGATGCACTTTTATGATGGATAGATGCACTTTTATGATGGATAGATGCACTTTTATCATGAATAGATGCACTTTATGATGAATAGATGCACTTTATGATGGACAGATGCACTTTTATGATGGACAGATACACTTTTATGATGGATAGATGCACTTTTATGATGAACAGATGCACTTTTATGATGGATAGATGCACTTTTATCATGGATAGATGCACTTTTATGATGGATAGATGCACTTTTATGATGGATAGATGCACTTTGATGGACTTCAAAAAATATCCTGCCATTTACTCCCATTATAAAGCTTGGAAGAGCCAAGAGATTTTTTTAATATAATTCCAATTGTATTCGTCTGAAAGAAGAATGTCATATACACCTAGGATGGGTTGAGGAAGAGTAAATCATGGGCTAATTTTCAGTTTTGGGTGAACTATCCCTTTAACACCACGCTGTTATTTGTGCTCAGTGACTCCAGTGTAGTATTTTGGTCATGTGACCAGTGAGGAGTGATTGTGATTGGCTGCTCACCGTCAGGAGGTCGTCGGGAAGATCCTCTCCGTTGTTGATCCCGCGGTTCATGCTAATGAATCTCTCCAGCGGGGTCTTGTCCTTCACGCTGGGGTTGTGAAGACTCGTGTTCAACATGATGATGGCAAACGAAAGGATGTAACACGTGTCTGAGGATCACAAACAACACAACTGATCTCAACAACTTTACCAGAGACTGATAAACAAAGCGTTTTGAGATCATCAGCTTGGCCAATTAACAGATTTGTGAATGCATAACAAATAGTCTCAGTGAAAGCTTATTTCGCCATGGAATAAAAAATATATAAAAAGGTAATTGCAACTTTTTTTCAGTGATTTTGTTCTTGCAGTTCTGAGAAAAAAAGTCAGAATTGTGAGATATTAAAATTTCCCCTGTAGTCAATCATTTTATCCCTTAAAACTTATCTTTGATCACCAAAATGACATATTTAAATTTTTCCTTGAAAAAATGTCTTCATGCCTTAAAATATCTTGAATGTAACTCGACACCCTTGCCTCATTTAGTATGCGCGGTTCTATGAATATGCAAATGAGCCCCGCCTCCACTCACTCACTCAGCTCAGAGATCCACTGGTTGACGATCACTCGTTGATCTGATTGGTTACAAGGTCGTTTGTGACGTCAGAAACACCAGCGATTTCAAACCGTGTTTTTGAGACTGTCTTTGGTTCACTGCAGTTTTAAGGAGGAAATACTCAGCAATGCTGTCGACTTATGAACTTACACATGGTTTGTATATTAAAAACACCACATAGACGCATAAACAACATTAAAAGCTGGATTTTGACCACAGGGAGACCTAAAGTCATAATTAAAGGAGCTGTATGTAAGAAATTGTTTTCAATTAATCATAAAATGGCCCTGAAATGTCACTAGACATTAAGAAATCATGTACATTTCAAATACTTATATCACTGACAACAGTAGTCTGGCCAGGATATTGTCATTTAAAAAGTGCAGTTGCAGCCCTCAACTGATGTTGATGTTGTCATGTTGTGTTTTGGTCTGATGCTCCACCCTCCACCTTTCTACCAATCACGAAGTCAGTAGTGTTGCGGCATCCGGGTTGCCAGCTCTGCTCTAGTTACCACAGCTGCAGCTCGTCACGTTCCTGCTGGATCCTGCAGCCGATCTGGCAACCTTGAGCCAGGGGGGAGGGGGAGGGGATACACCACTCTACAGTAATTTGACAGTGATTGCAGTACCAGTTTTGGCCACAATCTTACATACAGCTCCTTTAACTTTTTATTTTTTTATTCCAGAAACAAAAGACTGAATGACGAGACGTAAAAAAGTCAAAATTCCAATATTACGCAATATTGTTTATTCCATGGCAGAAACAAGCTTCCATGAGTTTCTGTTTTCAAATACTGAAATATAGTAATTATTGGGTGTAATATATATTATGTATTATGCAAGTGGACTTTGATGAGTTTCGAGTGTCGCTTCACCTGTGGACTGGAAGACGTTGACGTTGCAGTTACAGTAACGTGTGGCGAAAGCCTCCATCATGCGGTCGATCTTCTGCGCTTCTCCCGGCAGACGGAAACTCCACAGGAACTGCCTGAGGAGCGAGAGAGAGGAGGAGCAATAAGACGAGTCCGTCACGTGTGTGTGTGTGTGTGTGTGTGTGTGTGTGTGTGAGGGGAGGAGCGCTCGAGTTCTCACCGTAACGCCTGGACCAGGTTGAGATCCGAAAACTCGTGCAGGTCCACAAACGCCTTGAGAATCTGCAGGTGCATCTCCTCCCTGAAACATCAGATTGAGATGCATTCATCAGGACACACACACACACACACACACACACACACGTACTCTCAATCACTCGCACGCACTCTCAATCACACACACACACACACACTCACACAAGCACTCACGCACACTCAGACATACACACACACACGCACACACACACGCGCACACACGCACACACACACACACACACAGATCTGGTGTGTGTGTGTTTGGTTCATAAGTCACCTCTCTCCCAGGAAGTCTCCGATGGCCGTCTTATTCAGTCCTTCCTCTTTATACAGAAACTCTGCCACTCGCTCTGGTTTCCACTCCAGAAGCTCGTTGTCCACCAGATACTTGATTCCCTGAAACACAGAGCGGTTTGAGCCGTTCACTCGCTCGCTGTCACACAGATAAAACACTGAGGCTTTCTGTGAGAGACGCTGCAGTTTATCCGAGCGTCCACACTACTTCCTCCACAGCTCAACATCTGCTTTCCTTCAGACCAATACTTCCCTTTTCTGCAGAATGACTAAAGATAAGACTAAACCCTTCAAACCAAAATCACAGAAACTGATACACTGGTTGACTTTTGCTTACCTGCAATAGAGCCGGGCACTTTCATTTGCACGACAACAGTGTTTGGTGGCTCCATGACACATGCCCTATCAATCTGGTGTAGTTTACACTTTACTGGACCTGGCCGAGTGGCTTAAGCTTGAATCCTGTTGCCAAGACTGTGAGGATCTAAATCTCAGGAAGTAGGAGAGACGTAAGACGGTCCAGCCAAGATCAGGCCCTGTAGCTAAGTCCAGATTTTCCACTGATCTTCATGGATCTGATCAAACCCATGACACAGCATGTTCTGCTGAAAATGATTCCTGTTGTCTTGCAGCACAAGAATCAAACCCTAAACACCTATGCAGTGCTCGATGATGGATCCGAAAGAACTATGCTACTCCCAGCTACAGCTCAGAAACTAGGGCTTAAGAAACAGACTGAGGACCTTGCATTAAAGGCGACATATTACGCCCCTTTTCACAAGATGTAATATAAATCTATGGTGTCCCCAGAATGTGTCTGTGAAATTTCAGCTCAAAATACCAGATAATTTATTATAGCTATAGCTATTATTTGCTCCTTTTTGGGTGTGAGAAAAAATGTGCCGTTTTTGTGTGTGTCCCTTTAAATGCAAATGAGCGTTAGCTCCGCCTCCGTTCAGAAGAGGGCGGAGCCTTTACACAGGCTTCAGAGACTCCGGGAATAACAAAACACACAAATTTCCAAAATCTCAGGAATAACCAGTTGCGAGTGGAGACTCAGGAAGAGTTCAACTTTTAGACGCACATGGACATTTCTAAATTGTTAGTGGATACATTTATGTTGTTGTGGAGTTACATTGATTCATCTCATCGTCATGTTTAACTCTTACTCAAGTTGACACAGTTCCCTAAGGTCTTTATAAGACAGCTGTGACATTTTTTGGTCAAATAGTGTTCTGTGCTCGGGTTAATGGGTTGTCACTTTTCACGTTTTCTCCGAGTTGGTAGATGTACCAGAGACCCGATTATAGCACTTAAACACGGAAAAAGTCAGATTTTCATGACATGTCCCCTTTAAGAACAATTCGACAAGATGTCAAGAAACTTAATGGGGCCTCCGTTTTCTTTAGTGTACGCTTAATATCACAGCCACAAAGGAGCTACCAAATCCAGAATGCCTTTACCTCTGAGCACTTAAGTTTGGCCGGGCACTCTTAGCCCACCTGGAGGTCCAGTAGCAATTAGAATTAGACTAGGTTGGGTGCTACAAGGACCAACATGCTATCTACAGCAACAGCTTCAGCCTCAGCAATGCCTACACCTTTCCGTCACTCCTCAAATGGAGGAAGTGTTCCGAAATGTAGAGAGACTTAGGCAAGGAGATAGCATTCCCCACAAAAATGCAAGACTGGTCATACGATCCAAACAAGATCAGAAATCAATGGACTAGCTACAAGCCAAAACCACCAGGTAGATGGAGTGAAGCACTATGCCACACCACTGCTGTGTAAGCCTGATATGCCTCAGCTTCATGCCCACAAAGACTTGAGAAACAGAAATAGACTCTGTTACCACAGAGGAAGGATCATGGTTTATTCTCCACCACATGGTTCATCATAACGGCAAAAACAGAGTGGTGTTCAACTCCTTTGAATACAAGGAGTATAACCTCATCAACTACCTTCTTGCAGGACCTGAACTAGGCCCTTCCCTTTTGGGGGTTCTGTTGCATTTCAGGGAGCACACTGTCGTGGTAAGCTCATTGGATGATGTAGATGGAGACAGAGCCAAGTCCCCACAAAAATTAAAGACTGGTTATACGATTCAAACAAGATCAGAAATCAATAGACTCGCTACAAGCCCAAACCACCTGCACTAGGCCCTTCCCTTTTGGGGGTTCTGTTGAGGGAGCATACTGTCGCGGTGAGGGGAGACATAAAAGCCATGTTTCATCAGGTCTGCCTACTGCCTGAAAACAGAAACCTACTCGGCTTTGTCTGGCATGACCTCGAAACAAATAACCCCCATAGCATTTTGGCACAGCTTGCAGCCCTTGCTGCGCCATATATGCATTACAGCATCATGCTTTGGATAATACCAAGCGAAATGGCACCCTTAGATCAGCAATCGAAAGGAACTTTTACGTAGACGCCTAAAGAGGGTAATGTTCCCAGATGAGACCAAGCAATTAGTGAATGTGTTGCGAGAACTTCTTGCGAGTGGTGGCTTCGAGATCCGTCAATGGGCTTGCAACATGCCAAATGTCATTGATCACCTACCTAAAGAGGCTCCTTCAGACAGCACTGAGCTTTGGCTGTCACATGATGAAGTCGAACCACAAGAATCCACCCTTGGATTGAGATGGAACTATGACTCGGACATCCTTGGATATAAACACCACCCAGTGCCAATGACCACACCCTCTATGCAGCACATTTATAAGGTGACAGCAAGCCAGTATGATCCTCTGATCCTCAAAGCTGCTAGAAACCAAGCTCACAATGGAAATAAGCCGAGTGGTCCTGTGGTCTGATTCCACCACAGTCCTTTCCTGGCTGAGTCTTGTGCTGTATGTAACCTTTTCACTCTACTAAAGCATAAAAATACCCTTATATGTTTGCAGATATTTAGGAAACATACTGAGTTTCTCTGAAAAACAATTCTACAGCTAGTTATTTTACTTTGAAATGTGCTTTCCGTGTTGGAATGTCTGTTTTTGTTTTGGTCTGTGTGATCTCGCCCACTGCCAGTTCACCCAATAGTATTTTGACATCCGGGATGCCAGTTGGCAGGAAACACAGCCAGCAAATTGGGTAAGAGATTGCGGATTCTACCCAACCTAAAAAGTGTCGGTATCCCTCTTAAATTCTCTATTAACGAGAGCATATTAAAACGCGGATAAATCAACTAATCAACTTACTCGAGTCTCGGCTTTCATTTTCAAATGCGCTCGTTCCTGTTGCGTGTCCTCAAACTGGCAACCCGCGTGAGCGTCAAGTCTGAGGAGGAGGGCGGGGGAAACAACGGCTCTACAGACTGCACCAAGTCTTCGTAGGGACTAGGATAGCAGAAATCCAAGATCTAGGGGATGAGCATGAATGGTGATATGGAGATTCTCTCCGAAATCCTGCAGATGACCTTACAAGGGGTCACAGCCTAAAAGAACTTGCGTCACCAAACAGATGGAGTCAAGGCCCACCATTCTCACTACAGGCTGAATCACAGTCGCCCACTATGCCAGTCCCGAAACCTCCTGAGGATGAAGTGGTGAAGAGGAAGAGTGTATTCTAAGGTGTCACCAGAGTATCAAAACCCTTGAACCCCAGTGAGTACAGTACATGGAAAGACCCTGTTGAAGCCACAGTCCAAGTGACCCAAACCAATCCAGTCAAACAGCTAAAGACTACGTGATCGCCTCATCTTCCAAAACATCCAACGTGACAGTTTCCCCAAGGAATATGAACGACTGAAAGCTGGTTAGCCTGTATCCACTATAAACCGCCAACTCAGTTTATCCCCAGAGCTTGATGAAGCCGGTCAGCTTATACGGGTTGGAGGACGCCTACGTCGTGCTGAAGGTCTAGAACTCCAGACAATTCAACCAGTAGTTCTGGATCCTCAACATCCAGCAAACAAACTGCTCATGCAGGACTATGACAGTAAGCTCTGTCACCCAGGAACAGAACGGGTACTTGCTGAAATGAGGAGAAATGTGTGGAAACTAAGAGGTCGTGAGGCAATTCGTAAATTCCAGCACAACTGTATCGACTGTCGCAAGTGGACGGACAAAGCTGAGGTCCCTAAAATGGCTGATCTACCTCCAGCCTGTCTGAGGGTCATAACCATTGTCAGAACGATCCCCATTCACACGGATCCGCGGTAACGACTAAAAGCGCTGTATTCTGCTGCCAGGCCACTAGATGGCGATGAAACACTATAGACTGAACACATAATACGCATGAGCATGACGTCAGCGTCTTCAGAGATTCGCGTTTTTGTTGTTTACACGGAGATCGTTTTTAAAAACTTGCACTTTAAAAACCCGTTTTCAAAAGTTACCAAAACGCATAAAAGGTTTTACGTTTTTAGTTGAAAACGGTGTCGTGTAAACATCCCCCGAGACACTTCACAAACCTCCCTTTTATAGCACTGGGATGGACTGTTTTGAGCCCTTCCAAATTAAAATAGGACAAGTCTGTGAAAAAAATGGCTCCTCACATCTATAGACACGATTCCTTCCTTATGGCTGTGAGGACATTTATTGCCGGGGCCGAGGCACCCGATCTGAACTGCATCTGAGAGAGAATTAAGAGAAGCGTAACTAACTGCAGCCCAGAGCTTCAACAACATCTTGCCAAACAAAAAAATCAGTGATGTTAAGGAGATTTAACCAATCAGCGACTTATTGAAGACGTCAGCAAGGACGCTAGGTGGCGAGCTAGAACAGTTAGCAAGCGGAGTTAAGAGAAGAAGCATCAGATCATCATATTAGAGTGATTTCTGAAGGATCATGTGACACTGAAGACTGGAGTAATGATGCTGAAATTCAGCTTTGATCACAGGAATAAATTACACTTTACTGTATATTCACATAGAGAACAGCTGATTTACACTGGAATAATATTTCACTGTTTTTACTGTATTTTTTTTCAAATATATGCAGGTTTGGTGAGCAGAAGAGACTCTTTCAGAAACATTAACACATCTCACGACCCCAATCTTTTGAACGCAAGTGTACGTGTGTTGTCTACAGTGTAGTTATAGACTTGTGACTGTGTTTGTGGTGTTTATTAAACATCAACCCTTCATGTGTCTCTCTGTCATCTCTTTCCATGCTCGTCGGCCTCACTGTCTGTTAACATGCAGCAGCAAAACCACAAAGACTCAGAACGAGAAAACCAAACGTATTTCAGGTGTTGACCTGAGGACTTCATCCTACACAACCTCCAGTCTGTTAATCATTCACACACACACACACACACACACACACGTCTGGTTCGCTATCTTTGTGGGGACTCTCCATAGACGTAATGGTTTTAATACTGTACAAACTGTATATTTTATCCCCTTACACTAACCCTACCCATCACACACACACACACACACACACACCCTACCCCTAAACCTACCCATCACACACACACACACACACACACACACACACACACAGACACACACACACACCCTACCCCTAAACCTACCCATCACACACACACACACACACACACCCTACCCCTAAACCTACCCATCACACACACACACACACACACACACACACACCCTACCCCTAAACCTACCCATCACACACACACACACACACACACCCTACCCCTAAACCTACCCATCACACACACACACACACACACACACACACACCCTACCCCTAAACCTACCCATCACACACACACACACACACACACTCACTAACCCGACCCTACACCTACCCATCACACACACACACACACACACACAGACAAACACACACACACAGACAAACACACACACCCTAGCCCTAAACCTACCCATCACACACACACACACACACACACACACACTCACTAACCCGACCCCTACCCATCACACACACACACACTAACCCGACCCCTAAACCTACCCATCACACACACACACACACTAACCCGACCCCTACACCTACCCATCACACACACACACACACACACACACACACACTAACCAGACCCCTAAACCTACTCATCACACACACACACACACACACTACCCCTAAACCTACCCATCACACACACACACTCACTAACCCGACCCTACACCTACCCATCACACTCACACACACACACCCTAGCCCTAAACCTACCCATCACACACACACACACACACACACACTAACCCGACCCCTACCCATCACACACACACTAACCTGACCCCTAAACCTACCCATCACACACTCACTAACCCGACCCTACACCTACCCATCACACTCACACACACACACACACACACACACACACACACCCTACCCCTAAACCTACCCATCACACACACACACACACTCACTAACCCGACCCTACACCTACCCATCACACTCACACACACACACACACACACACCCTAGCCCTAAACCTACCCATCACACACACACACACACACACACACACACACACTCACTAACCCGACCCCTACCCATCACACACACACTAACCCGACCCCTACACCTACCCATCACACACACACACACACACACACACACACACACACACACACACACACACACACACTAACCAGACCCCTAAACCTACTCATCACACACACACACACACACACACACACACACACACACACTACCCCTAAACCTACCCATCACACAAACACACACACACACACACTAACCAGACCCCTAAACCTACTCATCACACACACACACACACTACCCATAAACCTACCCATCACACACACACACACTCACTAACCCGACCCCTACCCATCACACACACACACACACTAACCCGACCACTACACCAACCCATCACACACACACACACACACCACACACACACTAACCCAACCCCTACACCTACCCATCACACACACACACACACACACACACTAACCAGACCCCTAAACCTACTCATCACACACACACACACACACACACACACACACACACACACACCCTACCCCTAAACCTACCCATCACACACACACACACACACACACCCTACCCCTAAACCTACCCATCACACACACACACACACACACACACACACACACACCCTACCCCTAAACCTACCCATCACACACACACACACACTCACTAACCCGACCCTACACCTACCCATCACACACACACACACACACACACAGACAAACACACACACACAGACAAACACACACACCCTAGCCCTAAACCTACCCATCACACACACACACACACACACACTCACTAACCCGACCCCTACCCATCACACACACACACACTAACCCGACCACCAAACCTACCCATCACACACACACACACACTAACCCGACCCCTACACCTACCCATCACACACACACACACTAACCAGACCCCTAAACCTACTCATCACACACACACACACACACACACACACACACACTACCCCTAAACCTACCCATCACACACACACACTCACTAACCCGACCCTACACCTACCCATCACACTCACACACACACACCCTAGCCCTAAACCTACCCATCACACACACACACACACACACACACTAACCCGACCCCTACCCATCACACACACACTAACCTGACCCCTAAACCTACCCATCACACACTCACTAACCCGACCCTACACCTACCCATCACACTCACACACACACACACACACACACACACACACCCTACCCCTAAACCTACCCATCACACACACACACACACACACTCACTAACCCGACCCTACACCTACCCATCACACTCACACACACACACACACACACACCCTAGCCCTAAACCTACCCATCACACACACACACACACACACACACACACTCACTAACCCGACCCCTACCCATCACACACACACTAACCCGACCCCTACACCTACCCATCACACACACACACACACACACACTAACCAGACCCCTAAACCTACTCATCACACACACACACACTACCCCTAAACCTACCCATCACACAAACACACACACACACACACTAACCAGACCCCTAAACCTACTCATCACACACACACACACACACACACACACACTACCCCTAAACCTACCCATCACACAAACACACACACACACACACTAACCAGACCCCTAAACCTACTCATCACACACACACACACACTACCCATAAACCTACCCATCACACACACACACACTCACTAACCCGACCCCTACCCATCACACACACACACACACACTAACCCGACCACTACACCAACCCATCACACACACACACACACACACACCACACACACACTAACCCAACCCCTACACCTACCCATCACACACACACACACACACACACACTAACCAGACCCCTAAACCTACTCATCACACACACACACACACTACCCCTAAACCTACCTATCACACACAAACACACACACTAACCCGACCCCTAAACCTACCCATCACACACACACACACTCACACACTAACCAGAACCCCTAAACCTACTCAGCACACACACACACACACACACATTACCCCTAAACCTACCCATCACATAAAACTTTCTGCATGTTTATATTTTCAAAAAAACTCATTCTATATGATTTTTAAAGCTTCTTTCCTCAATTTAGGTCCACAGTGTCCATGAGTCTGTGTGCATTTTTCCCCACCGGGATAGAAAAACATGTACACACACACACACACACAGAGATACATATATAGCACAAATGCAGTTTAAATTTGAATGTCTTGTTTTCAGTTCAATGTTGAATAATGACATCAGTCTCTCCTACAGTGTGTGTGTGTGTGTGTGTGTGGCTAATCTCAGAGACTGACTGATGTTCCACTGCCCTCGTTATCTCACGCTGGAAACAAGCGTCTTCATCATCATCATCATCATCATCATCATCACTGACTCCTCCAGATCTCACCTTTTTAGGATCCATGTTGAACTTCTTCTTGCCACTACAGAAGCGTTTCTCCCTCTCCAGCATCTTACTGCAAACAGTTCAAGCAAAACACGTTTCATTATTTCACCAGCGTTTAATCAAAACTAAGACTAGAACTATTTTAAAAATAGATAAAATATTAATATCAGAATTAGTGCGTAAACAAAGCTCTTTTCTCAGATCATCAGACGCTCTCAATCATCATTCATATATTCACTCACTTGTCTTCTGCCGACTTGAAATCCTGAATATCTGCCATCACGTTTTCAATCTGGTTCTTCAGTTTCTGTAAGAAAAATTAAAACCTCTCGTCAGGTTTCTAAAGCTGCTTTCATAATAAAGACATATTTTATTTCCTTTACAGTGTCTGTCTATTATACACTTGTGAATGTGATGGAAGAATCACACCAGACACACACACAAACACGACCACGAGTCCAGTATGACACGTGAAAGAAGCTTTTAGGCTATTTTGGTCCATTTCTTCTTTTTTTTTTTACAAATTTTTTGTGTTTTTGTTTTTTCGTGAAAAACTATGGAAAAAGAAACCACTAATGCAAAACAACAGAACATTTGAGGGACACATATATACAAAGACAGATTATCATTTGACAGGTAATGCTGAAGCCGAATGCAAATTCATGCAAATTCAGAATAACCAAGAAAAAACGAATGCTTGTAACATTCGGGGAACGTTCAGAAATAACGTTTCCATAACGTAATGGTAAAGTTATCAACATGTTCTGCGTATGATTTAAGAATCACACCAGACACACACACAAACACGACCACTAGTCCAGTATGACACGTGAAAGAGGCTTTTAGGTTATTTTGGACCATTTCTTCTTTTTTTAACACGTTTTTTTTTTCACAGAACAACGGGAAAAAAAACCACAATGACAAAACAACAGAACATTGGAGGGACACATATATACATAGACAGATTATCATTTGACAGGTAATGCTGAAGCTTCAGTCCTACGAGTATAAACTAAATACTAACGTTATGAACAAACATTCTTATTAAAACGTTCGTTCAAAGTTATCTGGTCTTTAATTATGTCCTCAAAACATTATTTATACATCCTTCATTGAACGTTTTTTTTCTAAAACGTTTTAGTTCGTCTAACATTTTTTAAATGTTACTTTTGTTTCAGAACGCTCAGAGAACAATCCAAAGTAACGTTCCCATAATGTTTGAATAACCAAGAAAAAAAAACGTTTTTAGAACTGGACGTTTGTAACATTCAAAAATAACATTTTCAATTAAATTTCCTTTTGTCATTGCATATATTATACAATGAAACTAATCAGCAAACCTTACGTTGCATCCACACATGACAACACTACAACATTGAAGACAATATAAACAACACACTACAATATAGAAACGTGACGGGTTATGATATTGGATTGTTGTCATAAAGTGATGTAACTGTTTTCATAATGTAGCGTGGACGTTAGAAACATGTTCAGTGTGTGTTCCTCACCTCAATGTCCTCCAGCAGAACCTGCTTGTGCATCTTCAGCCGCTCGATCTCCATCTGCTCCTCCACCGTCAAATCTGAGGAAACACACACACACACACACCGTCAGATGAGCGAGTGTGTGTGGCTGCAGATCCAGAGAGAGATCTCACATGTAAAACACTAGTTACCAGGCCCGAAACACAGCAGTGAGGGTCGACAATACACACTGACAGGCATTAATGACCAGATTACAGTTGTTTGAAATCTCTCTTCTCAGTGAAGACTTGAACAATGCGCTTCACACTCGTCGGGTTCTGCTTTATGAAACAGGAAACCTGTTGTCACGGGGGCCGTTGGCTCAGTGTGAGGGGCCTCTGAACGTGTGTGTGTGTGTGTGTGTGTGTGTTTCACTTCAGACATGACTATCCAAACAGACCACAGCAGACAGACGACAGAAACAAGCAGACACAAACTCAGAGCTGATCTGAATGAAATCAAACCAGCACATATAAAATAAAGATCAGATAATAATTCAGCTGATCCTACAGATTTTCATTTCAATCCATCAGTTCTCTCGCGTTTATGAACAAACGGTCCTGTAACATTACTAGAACGTTCATTCAAAGTTATCCGGTCTTTAATTAATGTTCTATAGAAAATAGATCCCTTTTTATAAAACAATAGCACAAAACATTATTAATACATTGTTTATGCAAAGTTTTTTTCTGAAACGGTTTAGTTCATCTAACGTTTTTAAATGTCACGTCTTGTTTCAGAACGTTCAGAGAACATTCAAAAGTAACGTTCCCGTAATGTTTGAAGAATGATACATTTCAATAACCAAGAAAAAACATTTTAACAACATTTAAAAACAGTATATAAAAAATAATATGTAGTTGCTTTCACCATCTATAACCTCTAGTTGCTGGTGTTGTGCAGATAAAACACCACCACTGATAATCAAATTATTAATAAAACATTTGCAAAAACAGCCTGCAATGGAAATACAGATTTTACCAATAAAACCTTGAATGTGAATTAGACTGAAGATGGAGGGAGAAAGTTAGTTAAGGTTAAACTCTTACCTGTGTGACAACACTCGGTCATTGTGTGTTATAACGCTGAACTCCCGTTTCATCAAAGCTGTGAGTTTACAGTCAGACGTTCTTCATGTTTGCTGAGTTCCTCTATCAGCTGCCCTGCCCTGCAAACACCCGTTTCACACCAGAAGTCAAGAGTTTCCGCAGGAGGAGCACAGGACCTCACAACAACAACAACACAACACACACACAACACACACACACACACACATGATGAGAGATCTGATGATGCCCTCTGCTGGTGATAATCATACAGTCCCACGTGTGAAGCAGAATGAAGTGATGAACCTCTTAAATAACATTAGGCCATTCTCTAGTTCACTAGAATAAAATGCGTGTTCTGTAGCTTTAAAGCACAGAAGAGTTAAACTCGTTCTCTCGAGGTTATGAACAAACGTTCTTCCAGGGTGGGGGAGTTGTTTTGTTTTAGGAGTTTTCTATAGCCTGTATTGTAAGATGTGCATATGTTTCATGTACAGTATACGTAGATGGCATTTGCATGTATAGGAATGTTAAGTTTATTTCTGTATGCATGTGTAGGCCTATATTTAATGACTGCAGAAGGAATTATAACTTTTGTTAGTTTTTTGTTTGCATAAGGAACATACAAGTCTTTGGATTTGATTTATGTTAAGTTTATCTGTCCTTTATATATTTCTCCAATAAAAATAAATAAATAAATAAATAAAAGTAAGGTTTGTAGACCTGAGACTCACGCAACTGACGCTGTTCACACGCTCTCACGCCACATCCACCACAACCAGGAGAATCGCGAAGGAAAGAGGAAACTGACCCCGACAGACAGAGCAGGTTACTGTTGTCTCTACTTTAGATAAACAAATTCTCAGTTCTCATAATCAAATAACAAATAACCGTTTTGGCGCTTGTAAATGTGTCGTGAGATCGCTGTAGCTCCCAGCTCGTGAACCCATCATCGAGTAAATAAACACGAATGAACCATTTTAAAGATACAGAACAAGATAGATAGATAGATAGATAGATAGATAGATAGATAGATAGATAGATAGATAGATAGATAGATAGATAGATAGATAGATAGATAGATAGATAGATAGATAGATAGATAGATAGATAGATAGATAGATAGATAGATAGATAGATAGATAGATACAGGTAAACAGACAGGCAAACAGAACGATAGACAGACAGACAGACAGAAGGATATCATTAAAATATAATAACTTTGTTATTATAATAATAAAAAAAGCGTTATATTTGATCCAGGGCTCTCTGTATGTTTAGCGTTGGATTCATTTATCCAAATGAATCGATATTGAATCAAGATCGTAATCAAATCACAAGAATTGAATTGAAATCGTGAAATTTGTGTCAAGCAATAATAAAAACAGCAGCTTACCAGCCATGTGAACATTATGGGTCACTAAACTTCATAGAACTCTGTTTACCAAATGTTTTGACAATCACAATCCACTAGCTGGGAAGAAGCCTGTGCATGTTTTAATGTTTCTGAAACTGCACACACAAACGTTATGTGAAACTGATGAGTTTATTGTTAGACTTTGGCCAGAGGAGGAGCTGTCAATCTAGAGCTAGAGGACCAATGGTGACGCTTAAGCCCGGCCTAATTTACATGAAACTCGAACTGCGACATTTGGAAGAGCAAGAACATGGAAGGAAGAGTGAAGAGAAAAACAGCACAAGCACAAAAAATATGAGCAGAAAATGTAAGAGAGCACAAAGTATAGAGTAATAAAACCAAGGAAAACATTCTTTTTTAAAGAAAACATGAACATAAGTTTAAGTTTTGTGCAATATAAGTTTTAACATGTTTAAAGATTTTTATTAATCTTGTTATTTTTTGATTCACGCTTATTATATTTTGATCCGTGGCCTCACTATTCTGATTATATTTTTACATTTACATTTTTGATTCACGCTTATTATTTTTTGACCCGTGACCGCACAATACTTTTGACGGGATATTGATCCCATGATATTTTAATGTTTTTAAGACTGCATATAAACTTTATATGGAACTGATGAGTTTACAGTTGGACTGATTTCAGTAAAAGCCATGTGGAAATCATCAGACCTCCTGTAGAGATGAAATATGCTCATGGCCTTTCTAGTAGAAACATCAATATCTCAATATCTCAAAGCAACTAGTTCCAGAAATGCATGAGCTCCTTTGAGAGACTGTAGAGCTCAGTAACATCATGACCAGCAGCTTCACACTGACAGAAGGACAGTTAAGTGCATCGATCTGACGCGTGATGAAGAACTCTAACCAGCCCAAACACACACACACACACACACACTCTCCTCACGCCGTCGCCATGGCAACAGCTCACAGATAGAAAGTGCGACCAGATTCAGATTCATTAGAAGATCTATTTCCGGTTGAAAGTGAAGATAAAAGAGCGCTTCTCACACTGCGCCTGTGCTCAATCTCCTGTCAATCATAAGTGTGTGTGTGTGTGTGTGTGTGTGTGTGTGTGTGTGTGTGTGTGTGTGTGTGTGTGTGTGTGTGTGTGTGTGTGTGTGTGTGTTCTCCATCACCCTGCATCAGAAGCAAGTCATGTTTCTATGGTTATTCAGTTTTCAGGTTAAAACCGTTACATTTGAGACTGTCAGCAAGCAACTGATATTATTATGTTTGAGAAGGGTTATAATAAAATATTACTTTAGTCCCATCGCAGTATTTATTGTTCTCAGTTCTGACTTTAAACTAATAATGGGCCATTTTTACGATTCATTGAAACCAGATTGATTTTTTTTTATTGCAAAGAAAAAAAAGCACTGCATTAAATATACAAATAAATATTCATAAAAGAAAAGAAGTGGGAGTAAAGGTAAACAAAGGTCTCAATCTGTAAGAAAAATAAGATCACTTGTTATTCTTTCTATTATTGATGTGCCAAAACTGACCTGCTTTTACTCTCATAAAACTCTATTAGTTTATGGACTGATCATTTCTTCACTGGTTCACAGATTCATCACGTCCCTCAGGAGTCTCGACGAACATATATGGATTTAATTCAAAGAAAGATATTTTTACTAACTTGGATGAAGTTTTGAGCACTTTCTCACGAGAGACTGTAAATAAACCAGAGTGCCGTTAGAACTAAAACCTTTGACTATTTTGAGGAATTCTCCCAGTTTCCCAGCGGGAAGATCAGCACACTCGTGATCAAGACCTCCAGCTGACAGAGGAACCAGTGAAACACTCAGCAGAAGCTTTTGATGCGCAGCTGAACACACACACACACACACACACACACACACACACACACACACACACACACACACACACACACACACACACACACAAACACACACACACACACACAAACACACACACACACACACTCTCTCTCTCACTGGCACTTTAACTTCACTGAGCTGTGAGTTCTTGCTCTGCAAACCAGGCTGGACCTTCATTCAGAGGGAATCAGTGAAAAGACTCTAAATTGATTGTACGTTGAGAACATGTTGAGTTTATGGATTCTTTCGTTGTCTTACAGTCTGTAAAATGATAAATTTGCCTGTCTGCCTGTCTGTCTGTCTGTCTATCTGTCTATCTGCCTATCCTTCTGTCTGTCTGTCTGTCTATCCTTCTGTCTGTCTGTCTATCCTTCTGTCTGTCTGTCTATCTATCCTTCTGTCTGTCTGTCTGTCTATCTGCCTATCCTTCTGTCTGTCTATCTGTCTATCCTTCTGTCTGTCTATCTGTCTATCTGCCTATCCTTCTGTCTGTCTATCTGCCTATCCTTCTGTCTGTCTATCTGTCTATCTGCCTATCCTTCTGTCTGTCTATCTGCCTATCCTTCTGTCTGTCTATCTGTCTATCTGCCTATCCTTCTGTCTGTCTGTCTGTCTATCCTTCTGTCTGTCTGTCTGTCTATCCTTCTGTCTATCTGCCTATCCTTCTGTCTGTCTGTCTGTCTATCCTTCTGTCTATCTGCCTATCCTTCTGTCTGTCTGTCTGTCTATCTGTCTATCCTTCTGTCTGTCTTTCTGTCTATCCTTCTGTCTATATGCCTATCCTTCTGTCTATCTGCCTATCCTTCTGTCTGTCTGTCTGTCTATCCTTCTGTCTATCTGCCTATCCTTCTGTCTATCTGCCTATCCTTCTGTCTGTCTGTCTGTCTATCTGTCTATCCTTCTGTCTGTCTGTCTATCTGTCTATCCTTCTGTCTGTCTTTCTGTCTATCCTTCTGTCTGTCTGTCTGTCTGTCTGTCTATCCTTCTGCCTGTCTTTCTGTCTATCCTTCTGTCTGTCTATCCTTCTGTCTATCTGCCTATCCTTCTGTCTGTCTGTCTATCTGTCTATCCTTCTGTCTGTCTGTCTGTCTTTCTGTCTATCCTTCTGTCTATCCTTCTGTCTGTCTATCCTTCTGTCTGTCTTTCTGTCTATCCTTCTGTCTGTCTATCCTTCTGTCTATCTGCCTATCCTTCTGTCTGTCTGTCTATCTGTCTATCCTTCTGTCTGTCTGTCTGTCTTTCTGTCTATCCTTCTGTCTATCCTTCTGTCTGTCTATCCTTCTGTCTGTCTTTCTGTCTATCCTTCTGTCTGTCTATCCTTCTGTCTGTCTTTCTGTCTATACTTCTGTCTGTCTGTCTGTCTGTCTTTCTGTCTATCCTTCTGTCTATCCTTCTGTCTGTCTATCCTTCTGTCTGTCTTTCTGTCTATCCTTCTGTCTGTCTGTCTTTCTGTCTATCCTTCTGTCTATCCTTCTGTCTGTCTATCCTTCTGTCTGTCTTTCTGTCTATCCTTCTGTCTGTCTATCCTTCTGTCTATCTGCCTATCCTTCTGTCTGTCTGTCTATCTGTCTATCCTTCTGTCTGTCTGTCTGTCTTTCTGTCTATCCTTCTGTCTGTCTATCCTTCTGTCTATCCTTCTGTCTGTCTATCCTTCTGTCTGTCTTTCTGTCTATCCTTCTGTCTGTCTATCCTTCTGTCTGTCTTTCTGCCTATCCTTCTGTCTGTCTGTCTGTCTATCCTTCTGTCTGTCTGTCTGTCTATCCTTCTGTCTGTCTGTCTATCCTTCTGTCTGTCTGTCTGTCTATCCTTCTGTCTATCTGCCTATCCTTCTGTCTGTCTGTCTGTCT